GCACTTGAAGATTGACGGTCGCGCCGTCAGCATCAACGACATGCACGACTTCTCCTCGACCACCGACGCCACGCACGCGAGTCTCAGTGACGAGCGCAAGGCCCTCTCTGCGGCACGCTCGCGAGCCGCTTTCGCCTCCAACAATGTCCAGCTCGGTCAGAAGTGGCGCCAGCGTGCCAAACGGGAAGGCCTCCGCGGCGAGCTCTGGAAACCATTCTCCAAGCGGCTCGTCCTGACGGGCGTCAAGATCATCGCTGGCGGCGTCACCAACATCGTCTCCGACCCCGCGACGATGCATCAGGCCATCATGCGCCACTGGGCCCCCGTCTTTGCTGCAAAGCATGTTCCCGAAGATGCCCTCTCCAACTACCTCGACTCGATCTTCCCCAGACGTGCGCTCACCCACCTCGGCCTACCTGACGCCTAAGCTCTTGAGAAGGCTGCTCGCCTGGCTGGCGACTCCGCACCAGGACCCGATACACTACCTTACAAAGCATGGCTACGTACTCCCGACAGCTTCGACATCCTCGCCGACTTCTGCCGTGACATCGCCACCAGACGCGCACCGCTTCACGACCTCAACTACTCCCTCATGGCCATGCTACCGAAGGGCGACGAGCCCTGCGGCAATGCTGAGTGCACCCGTGCCCCAGAGTGCCTACGTCCGCTTTCAATGAAGAGCTCGGATGCGAAGCTGATGGCATCCGCCGCCAACCGGCAGCTCCACGCCCTCGCAGCCGAGACGTCCCCCGAGCAGCAGGGATTCGTCAATGGCCGCCAGTTTTTGCGCAACGTCGTCGTGGTTGACGCCGCCGCTCGACGTCACAGTCTTTCACCTAATGCAGCTACTGACAAGCCCGTCTTCGTCAGCATGGACATCGCGGCCGCCTTCCCCAGCCTCGGCCACCACTGGATGTGGAATGTTCTCCAGCGGTGGGGCATCCATGGACACACGCTACGCCTGCTTCAGGCTTGCTACCACTGGCCTGTCTCCTACCTGGACCTGGGAGGTGCACGCCGCCCCCTTTTGATCGCAGCATCAGGAGTCGCTCAGGGATGTCCGTTAAGCGGTACGATCTGGGCACTCGTCTTCGACCCTGTCATCAGAGCCCTCACCAGCGAGCTCTCAGCCATCGAGCGCGGCCTGGCAAGCGCATGTGCTGACGACCTCGGCATCATCCTCGCGAGGCTCGCGGACATCAGCAAGCTCGCGCCGCACATCATTGCGGTGGAGACTCTCGCGGGCCTGTGCCTCCAGGCAAAGAAATGCACCGTGGTCCCGACCTGGACGATGCCCACTCAGGACATCATCGCAGAGATACGTCAAGTACTTGCTGCCGCCCACGCCCCCTGGGCCGCCTTCAAGGTTGAGTCAAGTGCCCGATACCTCGGCTTCTTTATTGGCCCTGGCGCCACTCTAGATCACCAATGGCGCGGCCCTGCTGTCAAGTGGTGGGACCGCATCGAGAAGCTTGCTGCGTCCCACGCCCCTATTCAGCAGAGCATCAAACTGTACAACGTTGCTGCCGTCACGGTCCTTGGATACGTAGGCCAGCTTTTCAAACCCTCGGCGGGCATCCTCCAGAAGGAGCTGCAGGCCATCCACAAGTTGCTGCGCGTTGCCCCATCCAGCTTCGCGAAGTCCGACATCCTCGCGATGTCCCTCTGGACCAAGGCTGAGGTCCCTATTGGCATCGAGAACTACTTGGCGGCCACTATGTGGCGTACTGCCACCACCACGGTGGCAGAGTGGCGCGACGCAGCCAACGCGCTCTGCGACGCCGCGTACGAGCAGCTCCCCCTCGTCACAGTGCAGCGCGGCCACTGGTGCAGCGAGTGCTGGTCCATCAAGACGTCCATCGTCCAACGTTTCGAGCACATCACCAATTCGACCTTCTTCCCCGACTGCAAGGGCTCCCACTTAAAGAGGCTGACCCGCACAGCTGGCCCTCTTCCTCGCGCCCGAGCCGCTATGATTGGCATCCACAAGCGAGCCGCTCGTGCTGGAATGCAGGCCCTTCTACAGCAGCAACATGAACCGCACCGCCGCCGAGCTACACAGATCACGCCGCAGAAGGCCTACATGACGTCCCTTAACGAGCAGCTCTACACCGACACGATGGCAGACACCATAAGGCGGCGTCTCCTGTCCTGATTCCCGTCCCTCGACCCTGCGAAGTCGCTCACCAGGGAGCCGCTCAGCGGGCCTCGCCGAAACGCCGAAATCGCACAAGAACGTCTGGCAGACCGCGCTCGCGCGTGGGCCGCCCACTGGCTCCCCGACATCCTCCTCAATGACCGCACGATCGACAACCGCTCAGACTGGATGCAGTGGTGCACGGAGTACCTGTACGAGCTTCTCGGGTCCGAGACCTTTCGCCCGCTTTACGCCACTTCCGCTCGCCGTCGACAGATCGCCATCGACATGTGCCAGCAGGCATGGGACAACAGTGGCACTGGCAGAGTCCTCCTCGAACACCGTCTCTCAAGAACACGGACCCGCTCAGATGAACCGAGCAGCCAGATCTCGCTACACCAGCATGAAGCTGCCCAACATCGTGCTCGCCGCCCCTGGGTCGCCAACTTTCTCCCGACCAGCTGCCCGACACCGACATCAGTGATGCCGACATCCCCGAGGGCGACGAAGACCCTCCTGATGACGAGGATGAGCCGCCTGATCTTCTTCGTCTCCAGCGGGTTCCCGCCGACCTACCAGCTCGCTGGAAACGTCTGCGCACCTACCTGGCTACGCAACCGCCCGCACGGATGTGGGCCACAGTGAAGGCCCTCGTGGGCGCATGGACCACCAGCTACCGCATGCACGTCATCCAGGACAAGCGCCCTTGCCACTTCGGGTGCGATCACCCGCTCGCCAAGGACAACATTCAGCACTACATGACGTGCGAACGCATGTGGCACCAGCTGAGCCTGCCGCGCGGCCAGCTGAGCGCCGACCTCCTCACGCGCATGGCGCTCCCCGAGCTGACGCACCCGTTCGACGGCGAGAACGGCGTCCCGAACTCCGCCACGCGCCTCGCCGTCGCGACGCGGGCGTACCACCTCACCAAGGACCTCCCCCTCCCGATCTCCTACCACAACCAGTACACGGCCTTCGCCGCCGCCCGCCGCGCCCTCCAGCTCCCGTCTGACCTGAGCGGAGGTGCGGGCGCGCCGCGGCCGCGGCTCGGCTAAGCGCGGACGAACCTTCCTTCAAGGTTACGTTCGCTCCTCCCCCTCCTCCCACTCCCTTTCCTCCTCCTCCTCCTCCTCCTCCTCCTCCTCCTTCTCCTCCTCCTCCTCCTCCTCCTCCTCCTCCTCCTCCTCCTCCTCCTCCTCCTCCTCCTCCTCCCCCTCCATTCCTTTTCGTTATGACTAACTCTTCCCTGTCGCACCCCGAGGCCAGTCGGAACGTGCAAAAATGGTGCACGCCTGTTGCACCAGAGCTTCACGAGTTGAGGACGAGTCGTTTTCGAAATGTGGTTCTCGCCTTCGCACCTCCGCTCCCCGCGCGCAGCCGCCCCCGCTGCGCTCCCCGCGCCGCTCCGTCGGGGGCCGGCACCTCTCCCTGGACAGCCTATCTGTCAGGGTCCTGCCCTGCCTTCCCGCGCCCACCCCTCCCGCAGCCAGACAACTGAGGCGCTCAAACAGAAGGCCTCCCTTAGACCATGGCGCTGCCATCTTTTCACAACGGGGGCTTTCGCCCCGTTGTGGGCCCTGGGACCCTCACAGACCGATCCGGCTCGAAAAATGGCGCAGACAGATGGGGTCTGGGGCTCCGGTCGTGATTTTGCGATTTTGCATTTTTGTTCGCAACGTCGGATCTCAGGGCTCGCCTTTGCGGTTGGAGGGAGAGTTGACACCTCTTCCTCGGCGGAAGGGCGGCGGCAGGCGGCGGACGGAAAAACGGGGGCGGCTCCGCCGGCGGAGGCTGGCGGAAGGCTGGCCTCAGCCAGCGGAGGCACATGTCGACCTCCCAAGAGATGGCAACCTTCTTGGGTTCAGGGTTTCCGGAATCCGCCAATCAGTCAGTCGAGCGTCCCCGAGTGCTGCGAGCGCCCGTGCGGACTGCCGCTGCCGTGCCGCGACGGAACATGTGTGGAAGGGTCCCGTGTACCGGCGGCGCGCCTGGGGGGGAAGTGAGAAGGGGGAGGCCTTCTCAGGAGGCTCGGAAGGCCGCTGGCCTTCCGAGGAGTCCTGGAGGCTTCCCCCGAGGGCGCGGAGAGCTTGTCGGAAGGCCGAGGGGGCTTCTGAGAAGCCCCGCCGCCTTTTGGGAAGGCCTCCTCCTCGTCGCTTACCCCTTCGCTCGCTGCCGAGTAGAGTTGCTCTCTGGGAGGCCGAGCACGGAGCGGCCCAGAGTCGGTGGGGCGCCACTGCCTCCCTTTGGTCTCCTGTTGTCTCCCGCTGTCCCTCCGCGTCCCGCTGCGAGTCTCCGTCTATGCCGCCCTCGCTCCGCCACAGCGTCAAGCCTCAAGGCGTCAAGGGCACTCTGCCGCAAGGGTGCAGTCTTGCTCCCCACACAGGCGGGGGCCTTGAACGCAGGTGTCCAGCGAAACTCAAGGACGCCCTCGAGGGCGCGAAGATATTCGCGCTTCGTGCCTCGCGGTTCGGCTCCGATTCCTCCTCGTCCTCCGGGCGGCGCGAGAGCGCGAAGCTAGGCGCCCCTGAGAGTTGGTGCTGGCAGAAGTTCCCGCCGACTCCGTTCCGACCGAAGTGCTCTGGCAGGCGCTTCGGGGCAGCGCGCCCGTCTCGGCCAGGTTTTTTGTTGGGGGGGGCCAGAGGTGCCCCGAGGCCCCACGCGCCCCGCGCTCGCCCCATGCGAAGAGCGCCGACGTCCAGAGCGTATACTGCCCGCGCGCAGGTCTTCCGACGTCGGGGGCCCCGGCTCCCCCGCCGGGCGTCAGAGCACGCGCTGACAGAACCTCCAGAGACGAGCTGCGTGGAGGAGCAAGAGAGAACTGAAAGTGCTCCTCGGGCGGCCGGGCGCCTCCACCGCCGCCCAG